TCAATCTGAATTGACCATCAAGACCATGCGATATAACTCCATTAAATCTTTTTTCGTTAAGATTATATTAACTGATTGACTCAATAAAATACAAGCCCTCAACGACATTATAATCAAGATTTTTAGTGTTATTGAAATGGAATGAAAATGTCATGCGGAACAATGGTTAAAAATTCAAATGTTAACAAAAGTCTCTCATAGGCAATCATTTTTAACTAAATCGCTTCTAAACAACAATGTCACGAAATGGTAGCTGAACTAAACTAAAAATCGTATTAAAATTTAAACCTTTTTTTTTTTATTTTTGCTATTTCGTCATCCGTTTTTTTCACGTTATTATCGTATTCGGATGAACCGAATTATTAAACTATTTAAGGAAAGGAAAGCATACTAGACAATGAAAAAAAAGAAGGTAAATATGAATTGATTAACGAGCAATTTAGTCAGCGTCACCATCAATACACCCCTGCACTGCCGGCGATGGATCCTAATTTCTTAATTTCTAATAACAATAAAAAATGCCTTCATTAATCGAATTACGTCACGTAAACTTAACATATTTAGGTTCGCACCCTGTATTATCGTGTTATAGTAAAATGCATGAAGAAACCTCTGCTTATAACTAAGAGATTGAAAACGCATCATTTCTCACATATAGAAAGGGGTAAATTGAATATAAATACCCCTAGATAAGGCATAGTGAAGTTACAATAAACACTATATCCTTTCTCCTTCAAAAATAAGAAATTATATCGTTACAAGTGAACTGAATTTTCATCTCGCAGGTATATCAGGCTGTCTAACTCGCTCAAAAATAAAAGAAAAACATAATAGTACTAAGTGATTTGAATAATTTGCACAAAAAACGATGAATGAGTTTTATATATTTATTTCCATCGCTAGGAAAGCGTGAACATTGAAAGACTGATTAGTTACCGATTTGATTTGAAAAGCAATGGACAAGAATCGTTTTGTTAATCTATATATAGCGTTTGGGAAACTCACCTAAGATGACCAATATTATTCGCTAAATCTGGGCCTGTATCTTACAACAACGGGAACTTCGTTAAACTTAATTGTGGACGGTAAAAGAACGTGCATCCGGGGCAATCATAAACGCGCCAGATATTCATTTGCGCCGCAAGAAGTGAAAAGGGCAAGGACAGCACTATCAACGACTAGTCGAGAAACAATTGACGAGCGACAATGCGCTGGCGACACACATCCTGTCCGTAAGCAGCCTACAATACGAAAGGGCGGAAAACCCATCTGTAAGAAAATAGTGCCATGAAATGACTGAAGAAACGGTGGGTTAGTAAGCCAATCGAAACCATTTTGGACTGAACACGGAGGTAATCCTTACAAATAAATGGGTAACTACTCTTCGGAGATATCTTCATGGAATCAAAAGTTATCGACGAAAATATAAAAAAAATCATCGATGCATTGTCGGGGTTGCTTCATTTTCTTCTTCATCGTGGAGGCCAGGGTGTATTCGTAGATTTCTAATCAATCAAGAGATTTGATGATGATCCCGGTAGTTAGGCTGAAGAAAGAGGTTTGTGACATTCTTGCATTTAAAGAAAAAAGATTCGAAATAGATTCATTGATTAGAACTTATATTGAACTGAATTCTTATCAAATGCATTTAGCTCGGAGACATTACGCTATGCTCTGTCGAATGCCTTTGAGATATTTAGGGCTATCATCTAACTTTCGCTGAAGTGACGCATAACTCGATTGCACTTTTCTATGAGGCAAGCGAATAGGTTTTCAGTGGACTGATTTTCTCAAAAATCGCTTTGCGAATCACACAAGCGCTAACTGATCATGGTTTCCATGGTTTTGACGTGGAGCATATTTGCATCGAATGATAATTTGCAGTGTTGGCAGTGTAACACTTCCACGATGCTGGGTAAATATTGACAAACTTCTAGAGAGCTAGAAAAATACATGCGGTAGTGCAGCTGCTGAATAGACTGGCCAATTCAGTCTTGGCGAGTGTGACAACACGCATCTTAAGTACCGCTTCAGAAATGCCATCTGTCCGCGAAACTTTTCCGACATTGAAAAATTCCAACACAATTTTAATTTCTCCCGATCGAAAGAACGCAATAGATATCGAGCGCGCTACTCCAAGCAGGAGTTCGAAGCAAATAGATCAACCAAGATACCATCAGCAACACCAGCCGTATTAAATGTTATTCAATAATTTTTGGTGAATATCGGAATCGATGTGATAGAAGGATTTCCAATTCTCTCCACCAACGATCGGGAGTCATTCTATTAATATTTTTAATATCTTGCTGCTCTATCGCGTGAAAAATATTTCGTTCTTTTCGTTTTCAGTTACATCTTTTAAACAGAGTTTAATACAAACTGCTCTTAAACGAATATGTTCATTTTGAAAGTCCACTATCGCTCTAATTTAAAAATTAAAAAAAAAAAAAATAACACCCGAGTTAATGCCATCCTAACAATAACTGAATCCCCGATATTCTTTAAACACGGTAGTATCTATATATGTATATATATAGTGGATCATAATTGAAAACAAAAGTAATGTAAGGAAACATCCATCAAATAATGAAACTATTTATTTTTTTTAAATTATAAAATTTTTTTTAACGTTTTGCATGTCGTCATTATTCGAATTGCTAAAGATTTTCCACACGATTGGATAATAACGATAATTTAGCTTATTAAAGCCAAATGCAACCATGAAAAAAACCAAAACAACATTATTATATATTGGGTGGAAATCAGCAGCTTCTGCTACCCATGTGCACTTGTGTCGTTCTATAAATTATCAAGTATTACAAAACATAGAAGAAAATGTATTTCATTTTAAAGCCAAGACAGGCATACGAATAAAATGAACAAAGTTATATTTTTATAACCTACACTACTTGTGGCGCAAGGGTAGATTAAATTTGTGTGGATGTATGCGATATTCATTCATCTATCCATCTCGTATTATTATGTTCAACATAGACATTGCAATTTTTGAGATATTTGGATGAAATTGGATACACTGTAGTATTTTGAGTCAATCAAGAAAAGTCAAAATATGGATACGTGTATGGCGGTGAAGTGTATTTAGGGGTTTAATATTTTTAATGCACAGCTTGACTGCGTACGCTGACCGTCTCACTCGATATATGTTGTACATTATATATATATATATATATGAAAACATATCATTTAGTTTTAGCCTTTGGCTGTTTAACAACTACATTTGTGGGCTGAAGGATGATTATGGTTCCGCTTGCATCTCGTTTAACTTACAATCTGTAACTGTATACCATAATCTAGTTTTAATTAAACATAAATTAAATTGAATGCATAAACGTAATCTCAATAAATGAAATCTCAAATCAAACATAACCACGAAATTGTATCAAAATCTTATATCATATATAGATAGATAGATAGTAATTTCATCTGATTGCCTCTCCATTTTATGAAGAAAACTTATCGCTATTATCTGCGTCCTCCTTCTGCTTCATTTTTCATGATCCAATTAGTTTGACTAGAAATATAAATTACCTATCTAAAGCACGCTTGAATTGCTGGTGAACTTCATTAGCACTAAAAGGTCCGTCTTTCAATTGCATTCAATTTGGAACGTTTTTTAAACTGACTTTTAAACTTCACACTAAAATTTATTTCAAAAAAGATATGCAAATACTAGATTATAACGTGATACGACGAGGGATAGGTATATCATCAACCCTTTGCCAATTAACAACGCACCTGTCCAGCAATGATAATAAATATTCTATTTTTCAGCAGACGAGCGCGTGAGCATGATTTACTGCATTCCACTTTTCACATTGATCAAGGAAATCGATATACTTTATAGAATATTTAGTGCTTAATTGTTGCTGCCAGAAGCGAAAAGAAATACCTATATATATATACTATTGTTTAATAAATTAAAATTTTATATAATAAATGGAGAAAACCTATAGCGAAACAATCATTTTCGACAACTTGTCTGTGTACTAAGCAATGATAAGCTAGCTTTTCCAAGACTTTACAATTAAACCGATGTGAAGATCGCTTACATTTCTCAAGGATTATGTCTTTGCTACAAATTACAATTTTGCGTCTTTGCTAACTTATGAATTGCGGCGACATAAAAAAAAACAAAGATCAATAAAATTGTATACAACACATAAGTAATTGCAGAAAACACTAACATATGTCAAAAAGTTAAGTCTTATTATCAGAAAACTCAAAACTAAACTACTGCTACTAATTATGATGTAGTGCGTGTGTGTATACCTATTGAAATGGTGCAATGTGCAAAACTCGTTATGACAAAGTTTAAAGAAATAAATGTAAGCACACTTCAGGTTTTTGATAAAGCGTCTTAACGGACGCTAAAATGGAGTCCAAAAGATAAGAGAAAGAGTAAATTCACAGACTAAAGTCTTAAAGCAATAGCATCTAAGATCAACGGCTTTCTTGAAAACTCTACCCGCCTTGAGTTTTGAACCCGCGACCGCCGAATTGTTAGTCGAAACCCTTTGTCTACTCGGTAACTCAGACGGATACGAGAAATAAAGTCGCTTCAGGTATGCGCAATGATATTGGATTTTACCTATCATTAAAATTTTTACATTAAAATTTTTCATTCATATTTCATTTATTAATATTTCTTCATTTTATTACAAATTTTTAGATAGTTTTACTTTTAATTGCATTGATATGATTTTGTTGATGATTGTATCGTTTTGATTGCTTGCAAGCGAACGAACATCAAACTTGCCCTTTATTTTGGGCCTATTTATTGCCGAAGTGAATATTGAAAGACATGAAGAACGTCATACGTAATGCAGCACAGCTAGATGACTTTCGAGTTTCATCGTCAAGTCAAAAACTAGTTAACCGAGAGATACATAATCAGTACCCGGTAAGTAATTTCGTTTATTTTAATTTCTCGCTCTCCTATCTCTCTTTCATAGCTTTTGCATATATCGAATGCCGGGGTTTAATATTAATAAATATGATTGCGTGAACGTTGCTCGCGACACATTCCATCATAGTTTTAGTTTATAATAAAGCCTTCATTAATACACGCGACTTATATTAGATTTGTGTTTTTTCATTTTCTACTTTCAATCACAGAAATGGCGATTGCTCAGTTAGCAGATATATTAACGTTACGGAATGACGTATTTAAAGCGTATTTATTTTGGTCAGCGGTATTAGTTTTAAAAATGCTGGCCATGTCATGGCTAACAGCTGTACAACGTGTCGCCACAAACGTAAGTAATAGTAGAAAACAATTGAGTTGCGATCAGCACCTTAGACTTTCGAGAAGTATGGGCTTAGGATGTACTAAGGCAACTAACTATAAATTCCCGCAATAAAATATTAAAAAGTAATTCAACGTATCAGTAGTCGGAACTGAGTAAATTAAATAAGCGATAGAAAGAGACAAAGCTACGAACTTCCTTATAAGCACATATGTTTAATCAGGATGTAAACCGGAATTGATTTAGTTTTGCATAGTTTTTCATACAAAATTTTTTTAAAATTTTTAAATTCTTCTTTTATCGTCCCATCAAATAAGCCCCAAAAAGCAATTATGAATGCTACGCTAGCCACATCTTTCATTATAAGGATGGGCGGGCGTACATGCTATTGAAATATTATATTATATATATGTACTAAAATGCTTACTCTTACATAGGGCAATGGGCCACTTTATCTGTTGGACTTTTGCATGCATTAAAAATATGATAACCTTCAAGTTACGAAATAATCCAATATATTTCATTGTATATTACGAACGTCATTCACTCTACATGTGATCTGGTTAGGTAAAGTGAACTTTGCCCCCTCGCAATACAAATCTTTCGCTATGGAAAAGAAACATCACAGCCAAAATCATTGAACCGAACCAAGCAATTCTTTCCATCTTTTATTGATTTTGTTTTTATAAATATGTATGCAAAGTTTCAAGCGATCACAAATTTAATAAAATACTATTACTAATATCTATAATACATTTCCTAGTGGCGAACAAAAAAAAAAAAAAATAAAACCAATAAAATCAAAAAGCTCTTAATATTTCATTTAATTTTGTTTATTACAAATATATTCAATTTTTATTGCAAATTCGATATTGTTGAAAAAAAAAAAAAACAACTACTCGTGTCAAATAAGTAAACAGCACCTTGGTATTTATCATTATAAATTCCATATAATATATACGTAAATAAAATTCTGGCTTCATGAGCTACGATTGGAATATTTAACAAAATTTTAGCAAGAATACAAAAATATATTTTTATCATCGAATAAACTTTAAAAGATAGTAAATAAAAATTAATGAAAAAAAAATTTTTTTTTCATTTATAGACTTTTGCTAATGCCGAGGATTGTTTTAGACGCAAGGACAAAGTTAAATATGATGAGGCCAGAGTGGAACGTGTACGACGGTAAGTTTTACATAGTATATGGTATATAGATATGTACTTTTTTCAAATAAGAATCTATTCGCTAATTATATAGGGCTCATCGGAATGACATGGAAAATATATTACCTTTCTTCATAATTGGCTTTTTATATGTGTTAACGGATCCGTCTAAATTTTTGGCTATTAATTTGTTTCGCATCGTAGCTTTCGGACGCTTAATTCATACACTGGTCTATGCCGTCGTTTGTGTCCCGCAGCCAGCACGCGCTCTCTCATTTGCTGTAGCTCACCTATCAACAGCATATATGGCCTATCACGTATTACTTTACGCATCTTAAAAGTACTTAATTGAACAAATGACAATCTGAAGGATAATATTCGTCAGACGAAACTGGATTGTGACTTTATCTTTCGCTGACATTTCTTTAAAATTTACTCATCAATATTAAGTGGAAATATGTAATTTAAACTGTATTTGCATAATGTATAATGTATCTCCCTCACACCATCTTACCGTCATTTAAAGACGAAAAAAATTCTCTCTTCATAAAAAGTAAGTTTTTTTTTTCATTAACATAGCAAACGCTTTAAGATATATTTTGTGACCGGACTGAGGAGAGATATCGAATTCACGTAAGAGATCCATAAATCCACTAATATAATCGAGACACTGGCTAAACAGTTATTCGTTTAGAAAATTTTTACTGATTTTCCCTATTATAATATTCCTATATATGTTATAAGGCAAAAAGATATTATGCTTTCAAACTTTATTTTTACTTTATTGTAATAGAAGAACCAAGTACAAGGTCTCCTAACACTTTTGTAAACAAAAACTAACAAATCATCCAACACATTCTGACAATTACGATTACTCTGAACAATGTGGCTTATCTTCATCGGTTTTGGTTCATAAATAACCTAAACTGTCGCGTCTGAAGCTCCAACAACCTAAGAGAAAGAGAAAGAATTTCAGGCAACACAATCAATGACATTTAGGTACGATTTTACAGATAAAGAAAGAGCGGGATTAAGAATGAAAAAAATCACTCGGCACTAGTTTTACTTTCGCGCGGAAAATATCTAATTGCCTCGAATGGGGATATTTCAGGCAACTCCTATATGCCAACTCTACGCCTCCGGCTTCCCTTTGTAGATGACGAAATCTTATCTCTTATCTGCAGAACAGATCATTCAGAGTTCTGTTTAACTTGATCATCTTGAGCGAATTCCCGGTGACGTCTGGCGTCCCTAAAGGCAGTGACTTAAGAACCGTTTTATTTAATCTATACATTAATGATCTTCCCTTGACCATTGACTTAATAATTTAGTTACATGTTACTGCTTAAATTTTATGAAATTAAATCCAAAAAATGTAAGCCGCTTTCTCTCTCAAGGAGGAAATCATTCAATAGTGAATATTTCATCCATTCACTCAAGTTGGAAAACATAGATTCGTTCATCGATTTAGAGCCTCTGTTGTATGGTCTCCTTTCTATAGATGTTGTATTGATTCAATAGAATCCGTTCGAAAGCAATTTTTGCTGTTTGCACTTAGGAATTTGGGTTGGGACCCGCTTGTCTCTCTGCTTCGTAAATAATAATAGATTGGTTCTGTTATTCTTGCCATAATTTGGTGCTTGCAAAGCTTTTGCCTGTTTGCAATGACTTAGGCGTCCACTTGCAACTTGGACCTGGACCGTTTGTAGGTGTGCCTCTGTGGTAGAGTATCGAATAGTCTATCTTGCCGACTATAACGTCATTGCCTGTTTTTTCTTTAAGAAATTTTTTTCCGCAAAATTGCTTTCAAACCAGATATCTGACAGTAAAGTCTTGCTTGGTCAAAGATTTTTCATAGTGTACAGCCTTCAAGACGCCTGTATTTGTTGTAGGTCATAAGAAATACATCTGTGTCTGTTCTTCCGCCTGCTTATTTATACAAATATCCGATGTATCTAATGTGTCTGCTTAATCATCCTAATCAACATAAACACTATGAAAAATATTTGGCTTTCACGACCTGGATAGCAGACTGTAGAAAATTCTCGGCTACGAAAAAGTGATATCTGGTAATACTGTGCAAAATGTCGAATGTAAAAAAAAAAAAAAAAAAGAAAAGAATCAAACATAATTATAAGGAGCACATAACGATGAAAAAAATGTAAAAACAAATAGAAAAAGTGAATAAAGAAAACAAAAAGGCCTTTTGAACATAACTTCCAAAGAACAAGTAGAAATCAAAATCACACCAAAAAAGCCTAACAAAAAAAGAAAAAAAAGTTACAAATAATTTTTATACGTTTCGAAGCACAAAATACCAAAATATTGGAGAACTTGCGACGCGAGTACAATAATAACTTGTGGCATGTCTCCCTCATCTTTTAAATCGAGACGGACAAAACCTACGTATGCCAGAAGAATGGAGAAATGCAACTATGCGATGAAAGTTACAAAATTAATATATAAAGTTGATTTCTCAAGGCAGCGAAGAACTGAGGGTAATACGTAAAGCGTGAATATAGGAAAACAAAAAAAAATTTTCAAAACACATAAGTGGAGACTTTTGTACAAAGCTCTTTCGTCATTTCATATGAGAACTCTATAGCTAAATAGCAAGATTGCCATAGAGGGCAATAACGAGATGTTGGACTTTGGCCTTTAAAGTAATAGTAGAGTAGGACTCGAGCTAATTATGAAAAAAAAGAGTACGACCTTTGAAATTTGAATTCCCGTGAGTAACGTTTTCAAAGCTCTATGATAATATAGTAGTTAAAGGATTTTTTGTTTTGGCACCAATAAAACGCAAATTAGATGACACTTAACTTAATCTAAGTTAAATAAAGCTGTAAAGCTGTAAAGCTACTGAAATATCTTCAAATTTCTTTTCAACATGGCCATTCCTATACTTGAAATTATTCCTTATTTAAGTTCCATCATTACATTGCTTGACCTTACTGATTCACCTTCCATCCCAATTGCGAGCTTTGGGTCAATATGCACCAACAAAATTGCAAAGGATACCATAAACTACAATTAAATTATTGCTACTGTTTTACAACATGTGACGTAATCATGCTTTAACGAGAACCTTCACACTACACTTTCTAATTCAAATCTTGTCTTTACAAAACTTCTAATGATGCTCCTCTTGAATTACTGAGCTTAGAACTGATTCATTAGCTGAGGCTACAAGGGGTGATTATCGTCTTCAATTAATCAAATAGTTTTTGTCGATAATTAGTTATTAAATCATCTCTAATAGGAGGAACCACTGAACTAACATTGTCATGGAAGCTACCAGATTTTCGAAAATTTGATTAGATACAAGTGATTTTTATGTTAACAATTTGAAAGAGCAATTTTTGGAAGTTGAAATTGAAAATAGCGACTCTGTATGCTGCAGAAACTGTTTCCATTTCCATATTGATTGTAATCATTGTGGGCTCACTCAGCTCTGGCTGAAAAATAAAAAAGAAGAAGATGCCTCTTTAATCTCTTTTCAAAGAAATTGATAATGAATATTAAATAACTTTCCTGACTTACTCGATAGTTGTGCGTCACAGCTAAATAATATTCGATAAATCTATCTATTTACCTGAAAATGGAATTTTGTTCTTACGTCATATGAAGATCATTGATAATCATGATAATTTATTCAACCCCATCAACCCGAATTGTTACTACAAGGTAAACTGAAGAATAAGCATAAATTGAATAGCTCATATTATCTTATCCGAAATAATTAAATGCCACAATGGTCCAACATTTTGTGTTGTTGTTTTCATTTTGTTTCTGTTTCTGCAGTAACGCTGTCAATAACGCAGCAAGTTGTTGTGATGGGCAAAGATTCTGCTAATTGTTTCTTAATACGATGTTCGATTCCCTCAAACACTTGCCGATTGGAAGCGTGCACAATTCTATGCTTCTATGCATATAACTGTTTATGCACGAAAGAAACGAAACAGTAGGTATGCACGTAGCAAGTATAAGTCGTTTTCTCTTCATCGTTTATTTCACATTGAAGAATTCAAAATTTTATTTTCGCCAAATTTCAATTAAAATTGTATTCGACATATTTTATACAATTTTCCATATTACACAATTAGTTATTCTATACAACCCCTATTTATATTACGTTATTATAATCCAAAATTATGCTACATAAATTCTTTAATAATTAAATAAATGCATACAACTTTAGAAAGTAAACTTTTTCAAATTTTATAATGTGTGGGCAACTTATGGATTAAAAAAAAAAAGAAGAAATTGTGTAGCTTTTTCATACTTGCACACTTATATATAACTGAAAATCTCTTAAATCCGAACTTATGAACTAGTTTATCCAAAAATGATATTTAATATAAAGTGATATTTAGTACAATAATAAAAAAAATAAAAATATCCGCCTGAGTGGCCGGTCGATTAGCAACTCAATCGTTATGGATTCGAAACTCAAATGAGGTTGAGTTTTTAATAAAAGCCGATAGCCTTAGATGCTAGTGCTTTAGAAGTTTAATTTTCGAATTTATTTCTCTGGCGAAATTAATAATAATAATTATAAAAAATAGTATAATAATCAAAGCGCTGAGTCTCCTGGATTTGTCACACCGACAATTCAGACATTAACTAGGAGTTTTTTATTGTGCTCCTATTAGCACGGTGTTGTTATTAGTGCTGCTATCAGCGTTCTGCTGCACAATATTAAATTATATACCATAGCGCATATTCACTTGAAAATGCAGTCTTATATATTTGTACTTTGCGAGTATTTGAAAGAATGCGAGATCATATCAAGAAACTACTCATGGAATTTTTGCACATACAAATAATGAAAATTGAAAAAGCAAGCAAACAAGTTACCGTTAATTAAAAACGTTACTACTGTTATTAGTAACAGAATCGGTTCGTAATAATCTTCTATTTTTACACTACTTTAAATGTAAAATGTTGAAACGTCTTGTTATTTAAACATAAAACATATTTTTTTTATACCCATATACGATTGCAAAGAGAATATAAGAAAGTATACAATAGATTTCTGCTCTTAAATGCGACTTTTTGAAATAAATATTTAATAGTATTCTCCCTTAACAATGCTAATTAAACTTTACTCTGAGAAGTAGAATATTATTCTCTGCAAATTCAAAAAGCCACTCGAGGTGCTTAGGTAAGAAATGTACAGTAAAGTGAATTTTACTCTGAGAAGTAGAATTTTATTCTCTGCAAATTCAAATAGCAACAAGTATATAAATATAATTTTTTTAAAATTTTTCTTCAATATTTAAACTAATTTCAATTAATTGAAAAAAAAAACTAAGAAATATAAATCAAGTATATTCGTAAAACTATTGAAAAAGTGAGTGGAGTGCCCATGAAATGCTAGACACTTTATCGTAAAAATCTTATTAATACACGCGAGTTTTATTAAAATTGTTTTTTCTTTTCTACTTTTAATGTTGCGGATATGCATATAAATAATAATGTGCGAATAACAACAAGTTCACAAGAGATATTTTAAAATACATCTTTAATAGTTTAACTAAATTCAATTAATTGAAAAAAAAAAAAAAAAAAAAAAAGAACCAAAAACAAAAAGTACTTTCTATATATATAAAACTATTGAAAAAGTGAGTGGAGTGCCGATGAAATTTTAACTACTTTGTCGTGAAAATCGTTCTTTGCTATCTATCTGTTTGCTTCAATTAAATAAAAAACTCTAAAGCGTAACGTAAACTCTCTCTCTTTATATAATTTCCTAACATACGTATTTCTTTTTGGAAAGAAAACAAAAATTTAAAAACGTATCCAAGTAGGTACGTACGCAAACAAAAAACGTGCTAATTTCTCCTAATGGAAATTTTTTTTTTTTTTTTTTTGGAAAAGCACTTTGTGCAAAATAAATCTGATATATGTGTATGTATATACATAAAAGATATTTTACAGAAATTGATTTTCTAAAAAAAACAAATTTCCATTAGGAGAAATTATACATATATATATATATATATATATATATATATTTACATGTATAAATATGTTTGTATTTATGTATATATTTATTTATGCTTAGATATGTGTACTTATTCATAGAAGATATTCTATAGATATTGAAGAAATTTACATACATATTATGGAGCATTCATATATATGCGCCAATTAAGTCATTATACTTAGATTGAGTCAAGGAATGAAGCGAAAAGTTCTTTACCATTTTTCACCAAACTCTGAACATACTTGCTTTTATATTTTAAATTAGTTTTCTTAACGGGAAACACGACTTCACGAGTACTGAAAAACCGTATTTTTGACCCTTTTTTGGGGCTGAAAGTAACGATAGTAGAATAAGAATTTTCAAAAAAAGTTAATAACGACTAATAGCATAGCAATATAATAAAAAAAGATATATATAAAAAAAAAAGAAAATTTTCAAAAATATTAAAAAATGACAATGCCGCAGCCATTCTGAAGAGTACTTCAGCACACTTCAATCTAAGTATGTAGATAAGAAAGATATATTCGGTCGCAATCGAATCTTTTATACCCATCACCGTGATACTAAAAAATATTGGGTGGGTGCGATTGTTTTTTTCTATTTTCACAATAAAAATAGAAATTTATATTCCGTACTGTGTTGTACTTTATGAGCAACAAGCCACAAACACGGAAGGCGAAGTTGCTCACAATTTTTGTTACATAGACGTATCGACGTTGTAGGCGTGTTTTTTAAAAAATTTTTCGTTTTTTTCAAATTCTTTCGCAAGTTTGTAGGCACAACAGACGGAGATGCTAAGTCACTTTCCGGGCGTTGCAAACGCGTTGAGAAAATGAATATACCCCTCATCCTTCAATGACGGGTGGAAAAAAAAATTCGTTTTTACTTTCGTTTAACAGACATCATAATATTCTTTTATTAAAAGGGGCATAGTATAGATTGGTAGGCTTAATACTACCAAGGAAATCGACGACTCAACCGCAGTCTATTCAGAAAAACGCGATAAATTTTTTCTTTGACTTGTTGTATACATAATCACGGGCAAAAGATATATTTAACTATGTTGTTATTCGAACTGTGTTTCTCACCTCAGCTTCGCCTGCATGTATGTTATTAAGGAAATTATGTTTTTCCCTAAATCCTACTAATTCCTCGGTGTTTAGAAACAATATGCCATAGCATGAAATAGTTTGTGGTAATATAAATAAATAAATTTATTTTTTTTTTGCTCAGCATCTATTGTCCAGTCCAACATTGTAGATGAGGAAAGGGAATAGTATTGAAATCATTGAAATTCTTTTTACCTATTTTCAGCGCAAGAAAGAGTAAGCAAGGATGATTAACAATTAAACAGTTCGTGAAACTATTCACAACTACTACTTTTGAGTTTAACTTTTCGCCGGCTAATGCGGAAAAGAAAAGTTTAGAACTGTATCTGATGTTCTAAAGAAACTTTTGAAGTCATAACGACGACAGTCACGGACGGACGGACGGACGGACCGATCTGTTTTAACCAACTGTTCTATCAATGCTAGTCAAGAATTTCTATACTGGATTGCGTTTGTGATGTAAACGTGTACGCTTTATAAATGCTTGGCAAATTGCATTTCTCCCCTATACGTAGTATATAACAAACAAGTCGTGCACAAGCGTGCACTAGATGTGAAAAATTCAACGCAATGCAAACATGAAATCTTTATTGTTGTTTGTTTGTTTTTTTCTTTTTTTATATTTGCACATAACACCGTTTCTCCAAACAAACAGCAATATTGAACTTATCACCGTGGGCCATGTCAAATTATTCACAAAAAAAAAAAAAAAATTACATTTGCATACATATATATACATATAACGATTGAATTGCACACGTATTATCAAAATGTTCAATTTTTTAATGAGAATGTAAAAAATGTTTTCAAAATGACAAAAATCAAAATTAATTCTCAAGCAACTTGAAGATTTTTGCATTCATGTGAAGAAAGCAATATATAGACATTGCCTTAAAGTGCTTCTTACGTTAATATTGAATTTTGATGACTTACGATCAATTTTATTATTGAAGAATTGACATGGCTTTCTTACCACATTTTCATTTGGACAGATCGGTTTTCCAGAAAGCAAAGTAATTGGCTATAATTCGTTAGGCACAATGTTTTAGGCTTTCTAATGACTATAGGCCTCAACGAATTTTAACGATTCCAATATTTTGAATGTAAAGGTTTTCCTTTAACGATCTTCGATCCTCGCTTTCAGAAACTTGATCGTTTCGGCGGCTACATAGAAATGATTGCAAAGATATTGCATTCCTTTCGGGAAGACACATGGATACAGGCAAGTTTGGGCCCATCATCAACATTATCGTAAACAAACAAAACATTCTAAAAAATTTCTTACATTTTTCAGTCTAGTATGAAAAGGTAGGCGATCAACGTAATCAGCATTTCGCTTATCGGCATATTTCAAAACAAGCTAAAACCAATTTTGCAATGTCATGGACACGACTTGTTTTCCTTAAATGCTGGTAATGCGTCATGAATGTGTACTTGGTTTTCCCCTGGCTTTACAAAATTGTTTTTTAGAAACACCATTAATGATCATGAAAACTCAAGTCATCAAGCATGGCTTTGTCGCTAGCATTACGCTATGTTGTATTGCGCACATACTCATAAAGTGATCAGAAATCTTTCTTTTCTCCTCGTTGGAAAAGTTAAGTGTGCCACTTTTTCTCATTCAATTTGCTTATTAGTTGTGAGAAATTTTTTTTTTTTTTTAAAGCATTCTAACGATGCGCTTAAAGTTATGGGGAAAAAGGCAAACTATAATCTTCACCTTGGATGTAATCTCAAAAGAAACAAACGAAAACTTGACAAGCTTATGAAAAGACTACGATTTTATTGACTTTCCTCAATGATAATCAAAAGGGAATTGTTAAGACTGATCCCAAGAAAAAGTCGGCTTCACTCGCTGACAATCTTATAAATTCGTGCTAGACCTACAGGCACGATGGGGGTGAGTAGTGTTTGCGTAGTTGAGGGCAGTCGAACAGTCTTCCTTCCAGAAGGGTATTTGTAATGCGTTTTCTTTTTCGTGTATGAGTATTATAGGTGCAGAATGGCGATATTAATAAATGTTTGCATAAACAAACCAATGTTTACCACAATCCTGTACAGCATCATTATAGCAAGCGATAATAATTACATATGCTAACGCTTCAATATATCGGGGAGGAATTTTCGATGGTCGATATGAGAATATGATAAAGTCATTTATTTGCACGATCTACAACGTTGCAGTTATACATATATATAAGATGAAGACGCTGCAAAGTTGATCGTCCAAGGAAAAAGGAAAAAGTTTTGATTCATTGACCGACGAATACTTCATGTTTCTCAATTTAAACTATTATGTGAAAATCGCGAGACACTTTTTTCATTAGATTTACCTGAGTCGAGCATCTTTTGCAATCAAACTTTGCATTATTCTGAAGGATATCTGAACATTTGGTGCGTAGCCTATAATCCTAATTAGACAATCCGGAACGAATAATGCATATATGAAAATGTTTTAATCTTCGATCTTCGGCAAACAGATAAATAAGCCCTAACTAAATCGAATCAAAAATAAAGAAAAGAATTGATATAAAAATTATTAAATAATAAAATTATTTAGTTGATCTCTTTATATATATATATGTATGTTTGTGAATGTTACAAATCTAAACACAAAATTATTAACTATATCCTGGTGCCTCATTTATTTATTACAAAAATTTTATTATTATTTACTTATTCCAATGCATATATATATATATATATATAT